CCAAGGATAAAGAATCCCTAGGTATTCCTGAAAGTAGTCCTGGTGACCTTAGTCACTCACTGTTGAAGATTGGCCATCATCTCACTTGTCCAGGTCTCACTTGCCTCAATGTTCTAATAAGGAAATTTGGTCTCTAATGACTTACAATTATTTACCTCCAATAGCTCACCTAAAGTAACCTCACATTTGCATAATTCTTTACAGTCTTAGAGTCCAAAACTGTATCTTTTAATGGCAAGCCTACAAAGAACTGAAGGCCAGGAAGCAAAGTTCTAGCAGGTTGCAGCAAAATCTGTCTTTCAGGGAATTGTGTGATGTCTTAAAACTTCATCTGTGGGATACCAATGTGTTTACTGTCTGCCACTGCAGGTCATTTCAAATTGCTGATTTTCATCCCAAGGCCTCTCAATCACTACAAGCATAGGATTTGACACAGAGGATGGAATTTTGTTTTTAAAAAATCCTTTAAAAATAACTTTAGAAAAACTGCCTCCAATACAAGACTATGAAAAAAAGTAACTTAATTCTATCTGGAAAGTATGAGTAAAATGATAATCACTCATGACATTAAAAATACTGCCCTCTAAAGTAAACACATGCAAAAATAATACACTTGTGGGCTTTGTAAGGCATTTTTCTTTATTATTTTTTCAATTTATCTTAGTAATGCCAGAAAAATAACAGCCATTGTTTTCACTTTTAAATGCAAACCAAATACTGCTGCACACAAAATACAAAGAATACCTACGAACATGGTTAGGTAAACAGGCCATAGTAGATTATTGACCACACTTTGTTCTTACATCAAAGTAAGACTGACAGAGTTTTTTGTTTTTCCCTTTGACAACTGCTTTAGCAAACAACCGTGCTACTAAACAAAGGCAAATACACATATATACACAAACTTGTCTCAACTAAAACTATACATGTCACTTTGACAAAGGCTTCTTCTCTGGTGGGATCACCAGATATTTGCACCCCAAAGTTCCCTGCCCTGATCCTGCCCCCAAATGCTGACTTGATTTGAAGGAAAAAAAAGAAATTAGAGATGTTCTTAATTAAAGGCACATTTGGCAGCTACTGAAAGTGGCATGCATCTGGCACAGGTGCGCTCTCCCTACAGCCCCACGGCATGTGACTTCCATCAGTCCGCATCGTTTCTTTGAATGGTAGTCCAATGTGATCCATCGTTATCTAACGTGCTTTATAATTTTGCAGCAGTTCGCTACTTAATGCACTATTTTCATTAAAGGCAAAAGGGAAATTTGCTCACAGTTGACAGAAAATGCACTTTACGGTGTCTAAAATGGAAAATAAGGCATGGAATTTAAAAAAGCTACAAGTGCTTTTGTTGTTTAGATTTACCATTTAGACTTCATGCTTCGTTTCTTAACTAGAGCTGAAAATTTTTCATGGGCCTATGCATAAAGGATTATGTAATGATTTTAAGTTAGTAATGAGATGTTTCAAAAGAGAAAAATATAAGTAATCACTTTACTTATAATTTTATTGCATAATGCTTATAGCCAAACCAGTATTAACCTTGGGATGTTTATTTGCAACACAACAAACCTACACTTGTACAGTAGTCGTACATATAGGCTAAAAGAATAAGCGAACATAACAGTGGCAGATAAATAATTTTAAATTGTTTCATTTCTAAATTTGGAGGGCAAGGTTTTCCTTATTACATATGTACAACATTAACAAATTGAGCTTTTCCTTCATTTCCATTATTTGTTTTGCTGACTCAAAAATCTGAATTTAAACTGTTTTAAAAATAGTCAAATAATTCAAGTAAACTAGAGAATTATGACATCATGATCTTAAATACCAACTAAATTTTGGTTTTAAGAATTGATTCATAAAATCATTGTTAATTTAGGACCTTAAACATAGCCTTCAAATGAAATGAGTACTTGCTCACTAAACCGTTGACATTTTAATTCATATATTCTTTGCTAAATACAGATCCAGTTAATTCATTGAGTTAATTAGAGCATTGTAATTTACTGGACACATAATTTGATGCCCAACAACCTTTGAGAAAATGTTTAACGTTTTTATATTTTCTCATAATTTGTTATTTTAAAATATGTTTAGAGACTGGGAAGAGTAAATAACCTGTCTTAAAATAAATTCAGAAGCATATACTTCTCTGCTGTTTAGATGTGACATGGCTATTAAATTGGTTATCAGTTCACTAAGTATATTCAGCCTTGAAATACTTTATTCATGTTGTGATCTAAAGATAAATCACTTACGAACATTTCCATTTTTAAAAGAAAATTTCCACATTTGGAAGGTAGCTTAAAAAAAAAAAAAATTCATGTTGCATTGGCTGTCTTGTAATGTCCTGGACTCAGGAGAACTTTGTCGTGATGCAGTTATCTTCTCAGCCACTTATCCCTGATGACGTAGTTTGTTATCATTACAAAGGATACACCTGTCAGCTAGTTAGTAAGTTTAACATGTTTAGATGCATTTTTCTCACCTCCACCTAAGGGTATCCAATTGGGATTTTTCTAGTCAGTTACCACTGCAGAAAATATTTTTACTCAAATGACACACTTCAGAATGGAAATAGCCTCTGTCCATAATGCATGTAAAGATGATGTACCAGTGGTCTTCTAGAAGCCCAGGGTGGAATGGTTCCCACTGCATGTATGAGTAGCACTGTATGTTATTTAAGCTTTTCTTTATTGTAGGATCAGGTAGGTTGAAAAGGGGTCATCATTTTATTGAAGGGTAACACACTGGCTAGACAGATACCAAATGGGCTCCAATGTCACTTTTCTCAGGTTCTTATTTGGAGCATGGTAGGGAAATTAAAAAGAGAAGGGATCAATGACAAGAGTGATCAATAAGCAATTTAAAGCAAGAATCCTAATAAATAACCTAATCAACAGTCCATGAGATTTTGGAAGGTGTATTATGATTAATTATAGCAGCACTAGTAAGTAGACTTAACTATTTGTTGAATGAATGGTCTTATGGACACTTAGCATCCAAGAGTGTATTTGAAACCCATTTTTTACAATATACATACCAGATTAAGAATGGTATGTATATTAAACAAAAAGATTCAACTCTGTACCAAATAAATAAGAAATGATATGATAGGATGGACTGCTTAATAATGTAATCAACATACTTTCTGGTCTTTAAAAGACTATATACTGTACTATCATGATATACATTGTAATGCTCTTATAAATATCACAGGAACTTATTAAAGTTCTAATTTTCCACCACAGTGCATTGCAGCACACCTAAGAATGTCTCTAATGTCCTGGGTTAACAGAATTGCTACAATGCTGCTTTATTATCCAGTAGACACATGCGGATACTAATGAACTGATGACCCAATACATGGAATACTACACATTTCACAGACATTATAGTGAAGACTAATTAAAAAAATTTTCTTCAACAAGTTGCATGCATTTCAGTCACAGTATTTGTTAGACTCAGAAGAGCAGTACATGAATAATTCATACTATGGTATCAGTGATGCAGGTAGATGTTCTACTACAAATAATTCTGACAGAGCAAAAGACTCCAAGCAAGGTAGTAGAATGGTTAATATAAACTTTAACAAACTGCACATATGTTGCCTAGGAAATAAAAACAAAACAAAACAAAAAAAAGACACCTCACGAAGTTTCACTTAGAAGAAACCCATCCTAGTCTAGCCAAATGTTTTCCTGCATGCCCAACTGCAACTTGAGATCATTCTTTGAGATTAATACATACATAGAGAACTGGAAACCAAGGCGTACCACAACACGGGCTTTTATTCTTAGTGTTTGTGTGTATGTTTCAACTGAAAGAAATAAGAATCAACCATTTTCTCCATATAATAATTTAATATATGCCAGCCAAAAAAAGTATTTGTATCTTTATTCAATTAAATTAAAACAGACCTGCCAGGTATATTATGTAACATTCACTATATACACATGATTTAGGCAATGCAAGGTAATTCTAGATATGCCGATTACTCAACTATTAGTAAAACATGAATGGTGTCAGTGATGCCCAGCAAGGGCTCCTTTTTCACACTGGGAACTTCAATTCCATAATAAGGTTAGAGGGACAGCTAAGAGCGATGACACAGATTACCAGTAAACCTTTGTGGGAGAAGGGGGGAGATGACAATCTAGCATAGATTAACAGTCTCCTAAATGTAAATCATATACTGATCAGTTATGTTTTTTTAAGAAAGTTCTTTTCTCATGTTAATGTCACAAAACTTGTCTTGTTTGAAGGCAACACCACCACATGTTTTATGTGTGTGTGTGTGTGTGTGTGGAGGGGGTTGGGTAGAAAGGGTTCTGGGGGTATGATCTTAAAATTGGTATAATTATTCTTGGGGGAAAAAAAAAAGTACCTCTTTGGTGAAGCCTCGGTACCCATTCCAATCACTGTAATAATCTGTAAACAGGACTGTAGTACAGTGCTGGGCCTTGAGTCCAACAAGGGCAGGTACCACAGCTGTTCCTCACAGTCCTTTTAATGATTTTTAAGAAAATATTCTAAAGTAGGAAGAGTAAAGCGAAGAAAAACAAAGGAGGGTATTAAGATCCCTGTTTGAGTTTTTTGTTTTTAAAAGTGCATAATATTTTGATTTACAAAAAAACTGTCATCATGTGGGCCTGCTGGACACTAGACTGTGTTTTCTATCCTTTTAATGATAAAGATCACTTCACAACAAGAGGACTCCTGCCTATCGGCCAGAAAAAGTCCCTTTACTTGATTTTCAGGTTCAATCAGTTGTCCAATTCCTCTAGAACAGTCTTCCCATCTTCTCAACTGGAATACCATTTTCATTTGATAATTACGTCTAGGTTAAAGTTCATTGTCTTATACTGCATCTTGAAGGAGAGTCATTAGTGTTTGGAGTTCTCACTGTAACTCCTCAGTGCTGGCACATTCAGTGCATCCATTGCCAGCAATGGATTCAGGACTAGGAAAGGTGCACCCCACTACAGAGGAACTCAGGAGGAATGAGCATTCTCCAGCAGTGGTGGTCCGTCTCTGTGCATGGATGGGTGTGTGTGCTCCCTTTTGTAAGTTTTTGGAGGGAGTTTAGGGATATGTTGAGAAGTGCTTTGTCGTGGAGGAACAGGCGGCCCAGCAATGGAATGAAGGTCCACTTCTTGTATCAGTGGTGGTGACGGCGGGTGCCTTCTTGTGCCGTGAGGAGAAGGTGTTTGAGGAGGAGGTGGTGTAAAGGGGGAAGGGCTGTTTGGGAAGAACGCATTACCGTGGTCATTTTTTTTGCCCAAAGGGGGAGGTTGGAGATGTAATGGTGAGCTTGAGAAAACATCAGGTGTCCTCACAGGTTCTCGTGGTGGTAATACGGGAGGGCTTTTAGGAGGGTCTGATATAGAGGTCCGGTCTGATACTGAGTATCGTGGTGAATAGACTTTTGATGTGGGTTGCCTAGGAGGAATCGCTGGAGGATTGTCCAAATGCTTAGACATCATCTGACACAAACGAAAAAAAGAATAAAATGAATATTTGTTAATAATTAAATTTATATAATTCCATTATATATTTTAAGCTGAGGTTTTTAAACATGATATTGGCAGAGGCCTATTGTGGATGAGGGAGTTTTACCATATACAGGTATGCATCACTTAATATGCTGTGAATAGAATATTCTGAGATTTGGACATGGTGGGAACATATTAAAAAGCCTTAGGCAAACCCACTTCTAGTTGTCCCTGCTGCAGCGGCTGCTGGAGCTGCTGACAAAGGCTGGAAGAACAGGCACCTGCGGCTTAGAGGGTGGAGGCAGGCACTGAGCAAGAGGAGTCAAGGGAGAGGAAGCCGAGTGCACCCAGCCTCGCCTGTTGTTCCTCCTGCACCCAGAGCCACGTCCTCTCTCACCTTCCTGTAACCCACCCATTGTCCAGTGCTGCAGGAGTCTGGGTTGGAGGTCTTTAAAATCTTTACGGGGAAATAACAAACAAAAGGAAAGCTGTTTTCCCCTTTAAAAATAAAAACACACACAAAAACGATTATGGGACCACGGAATTTTATGCAATTTTGCTCAGGGAGGTTAAGCGAAGCATGTCAGTATTTGAAATGGGGGTTTCTGTCAATTCAGAGAAAACATTTTTTTCCCCTCACTGTTAAATTTTTAACCTTAATTTTTCATGAAATGTTTGTTAACTACTTGTCTACCACTCAATCTAGTGTAAGATGATTCTTGGTTTAGCTTAAATTTTGTTAATTTAAAATCTCCTATAATAACACTTCATGATATTTTGCAGAATGTGTCTGTACTGGGTACTCCGTCCTCTGGACAGGCCTGAGAACCACTCAGTAAACAGCAGGCCAGGAAAGACACTTAAAACCACTGGAAACAGCTATTCTGAGCCTTTAAGGTGTCTGCTAACTCTGAATTTTCAAGAAAACTCCATTTAAAAGCATATCAATTCACTATTATAGACTTTTAGCACATACTAAGAGTTTCACTTATAATGTGCTTGCATACAAAGCTTCATACCTCTCTGTATGTGTTTTAAAAGAACTGATTGAGACAACATTGCTCTTACTTTATACATTAAAACTTGTTTTTATCTTGACAATAGCCACTGCTTTAGGTTTACAACTGATTATGGTTTAACTGTAATGGCTCCAAGTTTCCAGATAACAGGATTTTCTACTTTACCTTAGATGGCGAAGATTCCGCTGGGGCAGATTCTGGCCGTCTCCGTGGAGGAACAGGAGGGGGGACAGGCACTTCATCAGTGCCCTTGGTTAAACTTATAGACGATACTGAAGCAGACCCTGCAGGGTATTAAATATACTTTTTAAAGCTTACAGGAATCTTATTTTGTTTACTATTCCTTTAAAGGCTTAGGTGGAAACTGCTTATGTTATTAAAATAAAAGTCTGGAAGTTATCAAAAGCAGTTCAAGAATAAACCGATACCCAGTAATATTTCCTTTATTAAAGCAAACTGCTATAAATGCATGCAGAAATTTCTTAGCAGAATTTTCAGAAAAAAAAGTTTCCTAAGAGATCCTGTTATTTTGCTTCTTGGACAAAATAACACTTCCACTGTTAATCTGTTATTAATTTTTAATTGGGTCTAATTCTCAGACTTCTGAGAGATCGCAAATGATGAAAATCTTCAGAATGGCAATTTCTGTTAAGCTTTTGTGAAGGGCTCAGCTTATTTTCTCCGACTTTATTGGTACTGAGTTTCCCTGCCCTAGCTGGACAGTCTCTGGGAACTGGGAATAGAGTTTCTGATCTTCACCCCTGCCCCCAATGCATCTCCTCCCTAGTAGCCCTCCCACAGGATGCCAGGGAGAGGAGCTACTGTCTTGGGGCAAGCTCTTTGCTCACTGTGCTTACGTATAGGCTATCACTGGCATGGAAGCAAAATCTAGCTAATTGTACTCAAATTCAGAATTTTTCATTGTAAAGCTGTTCAAGACCAATGGTAGTCCTAATAATGACCCTATCTCAGAGATACTTAGGTAACAAGGTCATAATTTAGGCATGTGAATAATTACACTTTGAAAGACATCGCTTACTTGTTAGCTAGTTTATGAACACTATAAAAAATAAGATAAAACTTTAAAAAAAGATCATTCAAAATGATAGTTGACAGGTTCAGGTTCTTTTTTTCCTTTAAGCACTGTATGACTGCCTTTATTTTCTCAATTAAATATTATTATAACAAATTCGGATTTAAAGAGTACTTGGTGTACGATTGTTCAAATTACCTGTATTTTGATGGCCTACCTTTTTGCTTAAGTGACTATAGCTCATAACTATCATTTCTATAACACACATTTAAAAATCGTTTGTGTGACTGAACAGCAAGAAAATATTAGTTTATTAGCTTGAAACTTACAGAATAATTTAGTGAATTGTTAGTTTACTTTAAAAAAAAAAAAAAAGTAAAGCAAATGGCTACAATAATTAGACCTGATAATTTAGAAACAGTTAAATTGCAAGGGATCCCTTCTGAAGTAATCCCAGTGACCTGCCTATAGCCTAGGTTTGTCACCAGGTTCAGTAACACAGTTGCCAGCATTCCCAAATGCGCATGCATGCTCTCCATTCTGTCTCAAAGTTGAGCATTAAAATATATTTAGAATTCTATAGTTGGAAATGAGTAATGGTTAAATGTAGAAGCCACCCATTTAATAGGTTCTTTAAAAAGAGAAAAGGTTTTTGAAAAAGCAAATCATTTATCATCAAGATAGCACAAGTGAAGGCCTCACTTCTAAGATGTTGCAAGCAAGGTACCAATGCTGCCAGACCCCAAATGAGTTTTAGCAGGAAAGGTTACACTTGGTTTGATTTTTTGAAGCCAAAGCAAGTATTATGAGTCTTAAACCAAATATACTAACTTGGGCCATGGGGCAGTGTAACTTGGGTAAAGACGGTATCGCTGCCTGTGAAAGAAAACAAGAAAACATAGAGATTTTTTCTTTCATTGATATCCAACTCATCTACAAAAGTTGATTTATGATAAAAATGTTGAAACTGTCATTCCAGTTTTAAAGAATTCTATTACAGTCTTTAGTGAAAGCAAATTACTTTTGACAAGAAAAACAAATTGAATTAATATCACATTGGGAATTTTGAAGATACCTTTTAAATTCCCAGTAATTTAATGAAAAACATTCATAATAAAACAAAAATATCCTGCATTATTGGACAACTTTTCTTTTTATAAAAATGTATAAACTCAATTCAAGCAGAGGATATCATTTTCTAAAGATTACTCTGAAAACTCAAACTTGTTGTGGAACAAGTATTAAATAACAAATCTGTGTTATATAAACTGAAAAAACATTTTAACTAACATCATTATTGCATATCTTTAAAAAACGTTCTTGGGGAATACAGTCTCATTACAGAGTAACTACAACTTGTGATATTACCAAACAGGTTTGAAAATTACATAGCTATTTAAAACTATCAGTAGATATTTAGTAATTACATATTTTGAGAAGCCTTGGTAGCACAGTGGGTAAGCATTGGGCTGCTAACTGAAAGGTCAGCAGTTTGTGCCCACCAGCTGCTATGTGGGAGGAAGATTTACCACATTGGAAACCCTAGGGGGCATTCTACTCTGCTATAGGATAGCCATGAGGTAGCATCAACTCAACGGCAGGGGGCTTGGAGTTGGTTTTTTTTTTTTCAAAGACATATTAACATATAGGAAGCTCACTGATTAATTTAGAATATCTAATTTCAACAATATCAATCCTTTTAAGAAAATGAATGAAAATCAATAGCATTAAAGTAAGAAAACAGACCAAAGGCTTAGTTAGATGATGTATACAGGCAGTCCCTGATTTACAAAGAGGTTGATTTCAACATTTGATCTGACATAAGTCAAATAGCTCAGTTCTGAAGTAAGTTTCCATGATTATTACCTTTTATCTGAGGATGATAACATCAGCACACAATAAGCTACTAAACTTTATGTAGCACATATTGCTAACAAACAGTAAGATATAAAAAAAAAAAACTAGTTTTAAGTGCTTTTCATTCTAACCTGAATACATCGTAAGTTGGGGGCTACCTGTATTGATTTTAAATTAATATATCATTTTATACTGCCTCATATTACCAATATATGGAACATATAACATCCAAGAGACTTAAATGATCTGAGCTGTTTATTCAAGCTTACTTGGTTCCAATGACAGTAATTTTATGTTTTAAATTAAGTTGGAATTGTTGTTGTTGTTAAGTGCTATTGAGTCTGTTCCAACTCATAGCAACCCTGTATAGGGTTTCCAAGAAGCAGCTGGTGGCTTTGAACTGCCGGCCTTGTGGTTAGCAGTTCAGTGCTTATCGTACAGCACCAGGACTCCTAAATTGGCATAACTCCTATTAATTTAATTGCTTATGTAGATACTGTTGTTAAATGCTACTTAGTCACTTCTAACTAAAAGCAACCCTGTAAAGGTTTCTGAGGAGTAACTGGTGGGTCTGAACCACTGATCTGGTAGTTTGCAGTCCAGTGCTTATCCTACAGTGCCATACCAGAACTTGATATGGTGGGGTGGTCTTTTTTCTTACACAGCCCCAATTTCAAATAATCTGCTTCTATATGTACTAGTATTTATTTAGAATCCACAGAATAGAGTAAATCAGCTACTACTTATAAGTGATTTTCAGATTAACACTGATTTTTATACTCTGACATACATGTAGCTGTTGATCGGTCAATGATTTCACTATTAGGCCTCTCTAACTTAATAGGTACTAGATGGAGTATCCACATCTAGTGTTTACCTACTTAGTTCACACTTTCTTTAGAAAGGAAGTAAATGTGGTTAAACATGAATGCATCCTGGAAATGAGCCCGAGAACATGGTAGTACATTTAGTACATTGCAGAAATCAAATCAACTCAAAGCTTATGACTGCCATCTCTTTTCAGACTCTGACTGTACACATGTGTACACTTGTCTTTGATCCTATTTCTATATAGTGCAGGATTAGATTCATGCATCTGACAAACTGCTTGCTTCCACTTCCTGGAAAATTTTATACTAAAAACTCTTAAGGAAAAAACCCCAACAAAACTCTTAATGTCAAGTACAAATCGCAGATGGCAGTGGTTTTCAATCCTGGCGGTACATCAGAATTCCTTGGGAGGTTTTTTAAAAAAGTACTGATGCCCAAGTGCCAATGCCAGGCTAATAAAAGGGGGAGGCTGAGCAGGCAAATTTTTTTTTTAAAAGTTCCTCAGGGGATTACAATGTAGAGTCAGGGTTAAAACCATTGTTGAAGACACTCTTAGTTGATTAAAAAAAAAAGCCTCGTCTTCCAGCTTGAAATGCTTGGAGTGAGTTTTCTTCCTGGCAAAGCTTTCCCTATGGACAGAGATGAGGAAGCACATGACTCCACCTGCCCCTTCATGACCATCCAGGCACTTCCTCGTCCTCCCCTCCTTTCCACAGCAGCAGAAACAAAGCTGAGGGCCAGGTCATCTTTTCTTTCTTCCCAGCTACTACTGGCATTATACCCTGGGAGGAGGACCTAGCCAATGCACACAAGGGTACAGAGTGGCAGAATCAAGTAGGTGTCCAGTGCTCTTCTTTGGCTGTCTTCACCAAGGGCAGTCCAAGGCCACCCTTGCTCATTCTGTGGTCATCTTTTTCTATAATCCTACAACACTTTACGTCTTCACCTAGCATTGAGTGCAAATCTCCTTGTAGTAAGGGTATTTTTCATCTCTCATTAAGAATGCAAGCTTCATTACGAAAGATGTGTACCTGCTTATGCTTAGCAAGGAGTAAGATGTGTAACAGATACAGGTTGAACGAATGAATTTTAAGTTTAAAACGATTACTGGAGGGAGAGGAGTAAAGGGACTACTGTAATAGGAAAAAGAGTACAACCATTGTAATCGATCAACACTTGTAGTAAAATGTTGTCTTTTCCCAAATTTAAGCAGTGGAACTTTCTGCTGATTTGTATTGAGTTCACACACATAGGTATGTAGACATGACAGGTATTTGCCACCAGGCCATGAGGGACTCAGGAAAGTGTTCACTCTGGTGGCAACACTGTGGAAAGCAAGTTGGGCACTCTTGATCCTCACAGCACTATCATATCGGCCCAGCAGCAAGTGTAAAGTCAGAGACTATGTGTACAGATGGTCTGTATTCTCCTGGGTTACTTTCACTTCAACATCTGCTATCTTCAATCCTAATATGAGCAAAGGGGATTTTTCTTTATCATAAAGGAGAAATTGAAAGGACTCTTGAGTGTAACTTATATAGCCAGCCTCCTTGAACAGTGCTTTCTCTGCTCATCAGAACGCGTAAATCAATGTGCTTCACTACATGGTGTGATGCTATAGGATAAGCACTGGACAGCAAGGGTAGTTTGAACCGCAAAATTAGTCGTTCAAACCCACCAGTCACTCCTCAGAAACCCTACACAGGGTTGTTATGACTCAGAACTGACTCAACAGTACTTAACCAACAACCACCACCACTGCCAAAGCACTGGTCCCAGACCACTAAACTACAAAGGGATTCCTTCTTCTATGGTTGACTAATCACTCGAAGATTTCACACTAACAAAAAAAATTAATATACATCTCTTTGTCTCTTACCTCCTCCATATTTTAGTTATTTCTTGAGCTAAAAAAAAACAAACAAACCCACTGCTAGAAAGTCAATTCCGACTCCTAGGACACCTGTAAGACAGAGGAGAACTGCTCTATAGGGTTTCTGAGGCTGTAATCTTTATTGGAGAGCACACAGCCTCAACTTTCTCTAGTGATGTGGCTACTGGGTTTGAACTGTCGACCTTTGGTTAGTAATCCAACACTTAACCCACTATGCCACCAGGGCGCCTTTCTCAAGCTAAGGGAAGTAAAATTTGCAATTGGTGGTACTCATGTAGCTTAAATAATTCACTCATGTGAGAACACTTATATAGACCTTTCCTTTAGGAAAAGGACCCAGCAAGCAGTTATAAATAATGATTTCTGGTCATTATAATGCAAAAAACGTTATACTGCAAAAAGTGCAGGTTTTAGTTTATCCCTAACTTAGTAATTATTAATTAATTACAAATAAATTATAATTTTATTGTTTGGTGTTGACTTACATGTATCAAAAATATTTGAAAACGTACTATGTAAATAACATGACCTTCATACTCCTCAGTTTCTACATACTGCTGAGATGTTGTAAACTCTCAAGACCATTACATTTTTTAAATAGTAAAAACAAGACAACCTGCTGGGTCGCTTAAAATACAGGTATAACACATACGATTTCTGAACCAAATCGCAAAATAATGTTTCACAAAGAATAATTCTAAACAAATTTTTGTTCAAAAGATTCTCTGAATTGGAACACATCTTAAAAGACCTGATCCCCAAAAGACAGAGAAGTGTTTTATCTAAAATCAGAGAACTCATTAGCAAACTGAGATGACAAACCAGGATTCCTAACTCCTGTTGTTGTTAGGTGCCATCTAGTAGGTTCTGACCCTCGGTGACTCCACACAGAATAGAACGAAACACTGCCAGGTCCTACACCATTCCCACAATTGTTATGTTTGAGCCTAGCGTTGCTGCCACAATCTCCTTTGCACTGACCCTCTTCCCCCATGCTCACGTGCTTCTACTTCTCAGCACTGGATTCTGTTTGATCAAATACTAGGGCCGACCTGGATCTGCATATGGAGCCAATGGAAACAGCATGTGGAAGTGGTCAAGATGGGGTTAAGGGTGACTGGATTCAAGTTTTGATTACATAATATATAAATACTCGAAGGTATTTGGAGCAGCGCCTTAAAGTTCCTTGTGAAATTAAAAAGTTAATGGAAACAGTGTGGTCTAAATACAATACAGTAGCTAAGGACTAGAGCTAAGCTTGTTGTTGTTGTTGTTAAGTGCCTTCGAGTCGGTTCCGACCCATAGCGACCCTGTACAGTGTTTCCAAGAGCTAAGCTTAAGCTGTACAATTTGGCAGTTCCCAGCCACCAAGAGTCCTGGTGGGGCACTGTGGGTTAACGCGCCAGACTGCAAAGCTGTTTGAACTGCAAAGTCGACGATTCAAGCTCACCAGTCGCTCCTCGGAAACCCTGTATAGGGTCCCTATGGGTCGGACCTGACTCGACAGCACGTAATAACAGTAACAAATATATAGTCAGTATAAATTTATCAAACTTTCTTTAAAATATGTATTATGTAATCAAAACTTGAATCCAGTCACCCTTAACCCCATCTTGACCACTTCCACATGCTGTTCCCATTGGCTCCATATGCAGATCCAGGTCGGCCCTAGTATTTGATCAAACAGAATCCAGTGCTGAGAAGTAGAAGCACGTGAGCATGGGGGAAGAGGGTCAGTGCAAAGGAGATTGTGGCAGCAACACTAGGCTCAAACATAACAATTGTGGGAATGGTGTAGAACCTGGCAGTGTTACGTACTGTTGTGTGTTGTTAAGTAGATTCCAACTCATAGCAAGCCTATTTGCAGACACCAGACAGCATCAGCAAGATGCGTAGCTTTAATAAAGGATTATGGAGCAGTTTGGATTTGATACACTTCAAATTAGAAGCTAGTGCAGAGTTTGGTGGGGAGGGAATGATGTACCTGGAATAATACTCAAATAGTTAAATTCTGAAGCCAACAATTAAAACCCAGGAATGACATTCCCTGTAGATTTTTAAGTCGTCTTTGTTTTCTCTGGGTAAGACAGATTTCGTGTTAAAAACTGAAAACAAATGATGAAATGATCATTGTCCGGCCTTTCAGCGAAATGTAATAATTTTAAAGAGGGCTGTTCCCACAGATATTTTAAAACCTAAAAGTTGCTGGAGGATGTCTTATATTTTCATAATTTTTGTTAAAAATGGTATTTGACTTGTCTATAATTTCACACACACATTATATTAGAGACTCTTTTTCCCCATTAGCATGCATAATATTGATAATTAAAGCACTTAAATGTTTAGCAGCTACTTGAATGGAAGCATTGTAGCACCTACTTGAGTGAAAAGGGCTCGAATGATCAGAATCAAACACACTGCAAACATCGGTGGCACTTGAAGCACCAGAGGCAGGAGGAGGTGTTAGCGGTGTTCTTGGAGAATTTGGTGCAGACGCTGTACTTTCAGTTTCACTTTCGGGGATTCTACTATAACTAATCTTGCGTGGCTCCTGCTGCAGAGGCGTGGGATGTCTCATGGTACCAGGTCTTGGGTTTGATGGGCGGACACCAGGTGATTTTAGGGGATAGCTGTACTTTTTTGGCTGTAGGCATATCAAGATAAATACATTACACCACTATAATAGAAAGGAAGGTTTTTCTACATGTACCTGGTAAAATGCAAATATCTAGAAAAACCATACAATCAATAGTAATGAAATTACAGAATGCTTCAAATCAAAATGCTGTTACATATTCCACTTTGCTAAGCAATTGCTGCCAGAATTTGTAGGAAATTAATTTCTTCAAATAACCGAGTCTTAACTAGAATAGCACTGTAGGATTAGCACTGGGCTTCAAACCACATGGCCGGTGGTTTAAGCCCACCAGCTGCTCCTTGGAAACCCTTATACAGTGTTGCTATAAGTGGGAACCGATTCAACAGCATTTAACAACAACAATCCTATGGAGTTCTGATGTGGTACTGTAGGATAAACACTGGGCTGTTTTAAAGCATAGATCAGCAGTTCAAACTCACCAGCTGTTCCTCAGAAACCTTATACAGTGTCACTATGAGTCGGAACTGACTTGTTACCACTTAACAACAATCCTATAAATACCAGAGTATTCATTATTTTTAGATGAAAATGTTTCTAATATTCTGTTGTCTTCTCTGGCTTTGAAAATGGACTCCTGTGAAAAAAATTTTACTTTCCATAAAAGCTAGGATCATCGTTACAAATAACAACTCCGTTGTGGTTAGTTATAACAGTGATGCATGCCATCAGGACTACCTGAGTTATTATATATGCATTATGTTGCCAAAGTTCTCATCTGTGTGTATATGTATGTGTGTTAATTTTATGACATTTCCCTTGTACAGTTAACTATTTCTTAGCAAAGGAACAGACTATCTACCTATTTTCAATGTGCTGTTTTCAATCCATCTCATTAAAAACTGTTTTAGGATTGAGACATTTTCTTGTAAGGTAACTGCGTAAGTGCTACTTCACAGGCATTAAGAGGTTTATGTGTAATTCCAGATTTTTGACTTTCAGAACAGCGAGGTGATATTGTATATATATATATATATATAGCCAGGCATTGAGAGGTAACATTGAGAGGTAATTAAAAAAACACAAAAGGAAATTTTATTTCCTCAGAGTATCTGTAGCCTAAATTGATTATTTTTACAGCTAATGAATCATAGTTATAATTTCTAATATTTCATTACACACACACACACACATATAGTTGTTGCTTGTGATGTAATGTGGAGTCAGTTCCGACTCACAGCGACCCTGTCTGTACAGGGTTTCTGAGGCTGTAAATCTTTACAGGAGAAGAAAGCCTCATCTTTCTCCCATGGAACAGGTGGTAGTTTCAAACTGCTGACCGTGACATTAGCAGCCCAATTCGTAACCACTAAGCTACTAGAGCTCCTTGCTTGTATATACATACATACATAC